TGATTCTGTTCGCAGCTCTTTAATTTGTGTCCAAAAATTCAACCTCAGGAGAGCAAAAAAGAAGAGGCGGCTATGGAAAGTAACTTTGAGTTTGAATCTTTAACATAATTAAATAGTTTGGAACTTTTCGGTATTCCTACTTTTGAACTTCGCAATATATAATATGCTGAAATGGAATGTTATATACTGTGGAGACACGATACAATTATATGATTTTTTTTTTTGGGCCAACAACACAATATGATTATAGCATGATTAATAAAACTATATTCATCAATTGTACAAAACTCAAAGAATCGACTTATTTTAGCAAATTATTGTACCATTTATTTTCTTTAATCCTATTTATATAAGCACTTTTAAAATTTTTATTGAATCAAGAAAAACTTTAAGCCTTATTCATTGTCAAAAAAATTAATAAATTTTTTAACTTTACCTCTATTAAATATACTCTCTTTAAAATAAAATATCTATTATTAATAAACTTTTATATATTTAATAGAGGCAAATTGGCAATATTAATATAATAATTATTGAGGTGCCTTAACAGGACCAAAATAAATATTATTTATCTGCTCTATAAATAAGATTGAAGGAGTAATTTTCTAGACCTCTTCAGTGTATATGTTAAGTAAGAAAATGTGAATATATATATATATATATATTGGCATGTGACAATTAAAGTGCAGTCAATTTAGTTCATGGATGCTTATGGTTAATTAGCCCAAGGGAATGAGAATATATTATAAGAAAAGATTGACGTCCAAAATCAATTAAGACACAGAGATTGTTGAAAGATCAAAGTCTATCCCTCGTGAAAAACACAACTCAATTTTGAGAATACGTTTCTAGTTTATACAAATTGTTCGTTTGGACTTTGGATGATAACACGGACTGTACTGTACTGTTGTAGACTTGTAGGCCAGTTCGTGTTCAACGGACTACGCGTATATATATATATATATATATATATAGATTTGGTTCCATAATTATTGTTGTAACAAAATTAAAAAGAATATATCACATAAAAATATTACAAGCACACATTTCCGTGAAGCAATAATAGAACATAATTAAATTTGCGAGAGTCAAAATACCCAAAAAAAAAAAAAAAATCTACGCCGCCTCTCGAGAAGCCACAGCAGGTTGCAATCACGGGTACTTGTAAATAACAAATAAAAATAAAATAAATGACTAATTATATGTTTCACATATTGTTTGTTGTATGATCAGGAGATTTGAATTTGGCCCTCTACGAAAAAGTTGAAAGTTTGAAAGGTGGCTTATGCTAAAGTATATTTAAGTGTTATATTTTTAACCTATTTCAGAATTTTAATTTTATTAACAATATAAAAATTTAACTATTCTTCAATTACCTCTATTGAATATATATATATATACACACTTTGAAAATAAAATATTCTAATATTTAATAATTTTTTTAACATTTAATAGGACAAAAGGATAAAAATAAACACAATAATCATTGAAATATTTATAAATAAGATCAAAATAAATACTCTCTCTGACCTACAATAAAGTTGGGAATATCAAATTATCAACATTATTAAAGGTATACAAACATAAAAAAATTAATTGTTTTCAAGAATTCTGATTGCAAATAAGGATTTAATTAGTATAAGCACAACACTCAGATTGTAAATGTCTTCCTCTAACTAATATTGAAAATCATTTTTGTTAATTTTTCTGGAAACTAATTGTCATTAATTTGATGTTTTGGAAATTTATAGTCATTCTCCGAAAAATTATTTACATTTAGGCTATAAAAAATTATTTTCATGTATAGTTTGCATGTTGTGCTGGAGAGACGTCCATAATAAAAAAGTCGTTATTATATCAATAATAATAATTTAATAATTCATGACAATGCAGGAGTACTGTAAATTAGTCCATGAATGCTGTCGATCTCCAAAATCAATTTAGAAAGAGAAATGATTGAAAGAGCAATCTCTCTCTCTCACTCATAAAATACATGGTAATTAAGTCATCAATTAGTAACACGACTTATATTTATTATAATAAAATATAAAAATTCACGAGCTTGATTGCCAACTTATGGGTGGTATTAATTAAGATGATAACATGGACAGAATGCCGATCTAGGCCGCTACGTGTTGGATGAATGGTTTTAATGTTAACGAAGATATATGCATAAAAAATAACATCACGCCATTTGAAAATTGATGTGTTCAATGTCTGTGCATAATAAAGCCTCCCGAAAGCAATGGACAACAAAATCGATATAAACAGTGGCCACCCAAAAAACAGAACCAAAAAAAAAAAAAAAAACAAATGCACACAATGGTTAACTTCCTGTCCCTGTCATAAGACACTTCAATTGCTTGATTGGAACTAAGATATAATAATTAACTCATTAAATATGTTTTAAAATAATTTTTTTTAATTTTATTCCTATTAAAAATAGAAAGAGAAAGATACATGGTGTGCAATGAGTTACAAAATTAAATTTATAAACATGGATAAAATTAAAAAATGATAATAATAACATTATATATTTTTATATTAAAAATCAAATAATTTTTTTTTAAAATATGCCCTGTAATAGAAACGAGAGGAGTATTCATGTACTCTGAGTCGGAAAAAGGGGATGCCATAGCCATGTTTGCGATGAGGGAAATTTTGAATTCTTACTTAAAAAATAAATAATATAATAACAAATAGGGAATGCAGCAGAGTCAGAAGCAAGGAGGAATTGGACGAGGGGTCCAGTTGGAAGCCCAGATTGGATGAGTGGTATTGGGCCTGAGCACTCACTTGGGGCCCAAAACATTCTTCGGATCTCTGCGACCTGCACGATAGTCTTGTGGGAAGACATAAATTCCTGAGTAAATTATGGCACGGGTTTGGTTTCATGTTGAAATTGACAGCAATCAAAGAAGCACAAACGTTTTTTTTTTTAAAATTGTTTATCATATTATCTTATTGGGCAATTTTGTTCAAAGCAGGGTGAGACACTAACTGTAATACAACCTTCAGTACTTACTGAAAGTCATTTTTGTAACCATCTTCCTCTGCTCCACATCTTGTCCTCTCTTCTTTATGATTCAGATTTATTCATCTTTTATATTTTAACATCTTCAAAATTATTTTATAAAATATTAAATTCAAATCATTCAAATATCATGGTAAAGACTTCTAAATATGTCCAAGAGAAGAGAGAAAGAGGAAGCTGGATTTGCTAACTAGCTAGACTATCACGTTCGTTGGAATCAATTTGGTGAAATGACACAGATTGAGCAACTGAAATTGCGTGTTAAACTTACAAAAACTGAAAAGGCAGCAGCATAGAAAAAGCACTCATGAAAGAAGAGAATAGGACATGAGCATATGCTGCTGAGCATCTGCCTCTGGCCTTCATAAAATGGAACAAGCATCCAACTTTCATCCATTTCCTTGGAATTTACTTCTCAGAGAAAGCACTTTAATCAACTTTTAATAGCTTCGGCCATGTGGGAAGGTCAGCGAAGAGCAGGGGAGAAAAAGAAGATAAACCTAGAAGGATATTCACAGCATAACCCTCAAGCATAGCTTTTCCGTCACAGGGTTTATTCCATAACGAAAGCTCATGACTTGAAGTATTTATGATGCCCTTGGGACACTGAGAAGGTGCAGAGGCGGCAATAATAAGATGATGTGGAGAATGATTAAGCAAAGCAGCCATAGGGCTTCTCTTTCTTGGCAGGAGATTATCATATGATGGATCTGATCTGACATGGTTACTTATATGGTATGTCTTGCCAAAGGAGAGTTGCCCTGTGACTGATTTAGCTTAACAAGTACATCTCTTCTGCTATGTAGCAGAGAAAAGGGTGAGAAAGGTACATGGAGAAGCAGTATCTTTGCAAGCAATAAATGCAATGGTGTGCCATACAATTCTTAGTCTTTAGCGAGACTCAAGTCAACAGTTCAGGTAAGATGTCCCAAAACTTTCCAGATTTTCGCGGATCGGGAGTGGTGTTTGCAGAATTATGCTAGACAACTGACAGTTGACACTTGTGTTAGAACTTAGAAGGTAATGTGATTTTTACATGTACATATGTCTGTTTATTGTTATTACTAACAGAGCGTTGATCAGAAGATTGCTCAAGCTAAT